GGCAGAGGCACCATCACTATTATCAGAACCAAAGGTTAAAAATCAACCACATCAGCCAGCTAGCTAGCTACGCATGCACCTAGCTATAACATATATGCTTCAGTGTTCGATGATATCCATCTCTCATCTTTAATTCTTCATTAGCTAGTTAATTAAATCTGCTCTCTCTTGAATTGTATAGAACAGAAACCTAAATGAATGTGTAACATGTGTTATGGGTTGTTACTTTTACACATAGTTAATTGATTAAGAACTGCTACTACTATTTTATTATTATTCAGCTCCGTCACGTCTTTGTTTGTTGTACTGACTACTTTGACAATAAATGTGTGCAACAAACAACACACAAGATTTCTCAAGTCCAAATAATGGAAAAAGAAGCGAATAGAAACGAAAATGCATGCCTCTCTTCAAAGGTTAAAGCTTGCCTGACACAGGGACCTGCCTATAAGGCAGTCTAATTAACGTCGTTGTTCTCGATCGCAAGGTGTAAAGTAAACTAGGGTTGGTCATTTGTCTGGTTCAAGTGGGGACAAACAAACTATCCAACAGCAACGAAAATCATCAGACTCAAATAATCCAAAAGTGGAAATTCAGATCACACATATATATATTATTTGTTGAATATAAGATGGGTGGATTGACCACCATAGATGCATAATCTTTTACCTTAGGGTGTTGGATTGGTGATGAATGAAAGCTTTATCTTCTCCCATTAATTCATTCCCATCTCCTTTACTTTAACTTTTCTTTTTCTGCTACGTACCTGCTGCAGATACCTCCTTCTGCAAGACTCCAACAACTACCACTACAAGTAGTACAAATCATTTTCCAATTTCTACACACAAACAGACAGATCATATATATATATATATATATGAGACCAAGACTTTAAGCTTAGCCAGTAAGCTAGGTTCCTATAAATTTATAAAACTTTAAAGAGTACACCAATCATTAGACTAATACTGTTCTGATCCTTAACTAATGCCTGCCTTGCCAATGCCTAGAATAATATTCTTCTCTTCTCTTCTCTTCATGTGATGTGGCCTGTGTGGCTGTGGTGGATGTCTTCTTCTTCGTCTGCATCGCATTCGCATATATTTATATTTATATTATATATATATATAGGTCTCCGGTCAACACTCAAATTTCAAACTTGGCCCAGGATTCAAGACAATATCTAACATGTGAACATGCACCCAGTTACATGCGCCTGCATCACAACCGTCTAATGGTAATACCCTTTGACTTTTCCTGATGCAAATATTTAATATATATATATCTCATGCGGGTGCGGCCTCAACTTGAGGAGGAGGCACGAAAAAGCGAGCAGCATATCACATCACATCCTAGCTAGCAAGCAGCATGCCTACGTGGCTAATCTTGGTGCGAGAGTGACAAAGGAGTGACGACAGGGATTGGATGTTTTGTCTCATTACAACGAGAAATCATTTTTCTTGTTTTAGGTGAAGAAAAAGAAAGAAGAAGCAGCTTTTCATCTTTTTCTACTCAAATTTCTTTGGATATTGCAGAATCGATATATATATATATATATATATATATTATATATAGGTCAGGTGGTAGAGAAGCCACACAACACTTATACTACTAGTGGGACGGACTAGAAAAACTTATATATTTTCGGCCAATCATATAGTGGAAAAGTTATCACGCTATGTCTTTGTTGGGAATAATAAAATAATATTATTTCTGTTACACGCAAATGTTTATTCGGACGGACATAGAATGGAATTCTATTTATTTAAAAATAAAGACTACACATTACACTAAGCTACTACTACTACTACTACCCATTCAATTATATTTAAAGAAAATAAAAGGTCAAGTATATATTCCAAAGGAAAAGTAAATAAAGAAAAAAAGAGAGAAATCAAACAAGAATAGTAAAGGGGGAGAGAGAGATGACCTAAAAGGATGAGTAGGAGGTTCGAATGAAAAATGGAAGCAAGGAATCAATGTGTTTTTGGCTTTCTTCGTTTGAAATGCAAAATGAAGTGTTTTGTAAATGTATGGTGAAAATGGTAAATTGAAGTTAATGTACATCTTAATCTCCCTGAGATTTAATCATAACTCTCCAAATCCAATCCAACACTAGTTTACTTTGGTTGTTTCACATTGTTTGTACACAAGTTGGTACTGAATTGATGGCACTCAATTAAATGATTTCCCCTTTTCTTTGTATCTTCAAAAAAGAAAGAAAAACAAGATCCTTGGTATACGTGAGAATGCCATCCACTTTTGCTTTTCCAAATCCCCAATATTGTGAGAATTGGATTCTCTTTTTTATTTAAACATATATATATATATATATATATATATATAAATACCCTCCATTGGGATTTCACTCTTTAAATTCTTTTTAAATAAAATACTCACGAAGCTTTCTACTGTTTTTTCTTTTCTTTCTGTGTATATGTTCACAACGACCTGAGTCGAAGAATTGGACTTAAACTTTTACAACAATATTAGCAAGTCCAGATAAAACATGATCTCTTCCTCCTTGGACCTCTGTCAAACAAAGTTATGTAGGCCCGCTTAAAGCACACGTAGGCCCTGGTTCTGAATTCATATTGGCCCAATATTAATGCATTCTGGGTTCTCCTTATTACATCATCGCGTCTGCTTCAGAATCAATATTGCCCCAATTATTTTATTTTATTTTATTTTTGTGTGTAAAAAAGATGGTTTATTAGAGCATTGGCAGCAAGGGGCCCAAGGAGAGGGTTGGGGAGGGGCAAACCCAAAATGTGGTTTCCAGCAACAAGAAGCTGTCAGGGCAAGCAGTAGGGTCCACAAACTTGGGCTGGCCCGAGCTCCAGTACGCGGGCTGTGATGACGTCAGCGCTGCTGTTTAAATTTTTTTAAAGCTGGCTCGTGTAATGCACGAGCCAAGTTTAAAAAAAATTTGACGCGCGCTACAGTAACCGCCTAACGGCATGATTCCACGTGTCTACTGCTGAGCCATCCGATCTGCTTTTTAAACATATCCAACGGCAACCATTTTTTCGCGAATAAAAAAATCGAAAAAGCAACCCCAAATGGCTCTATACCACGTGGAAGCTCCTGGGCTCTCCGATCAGTTTTTTCCAGCAATCCAACGGTAGACAATTTTTTGCCCAATAAAAAAAAGAAAAAAAATCGGAAAATTTTAATAAAAAAATACTAAAAAAATACTAAATTTTTTTTTCTATAAATACCAACCAATACTCTTCACTTTTAACACCAACTCCTCATACATTTTCTTCTCCTTCTACTATTTTTCACTTTCTACTCAATTTTTTTTAACTTTCAAGTTGTTTTTTTCTCTCTTTCAAGTTGTTTTTTTCTCTATCATATTATGGGTTCTTCTTGTGAAACCGGAGAAGGGGCATGGAGCATGACGGAAGATATTAGCTTGTGTGAGGCTTGGCTCCAAGTTAGTCATTATCCCGTAACGGGCAATGAGATCAAATTCTGTCATATGTGGAAAAAAATTCATCAGGAATTTTGTGAAAGGGTAATTTGTTCGACCCGTACGGATCAGACATTATATAGTAGGTGGAAAATTCTTAATAAAGAGCTGGGAAAATGGAGATATGCCTTGACAAAAGCGATGAACAACCATAGAAGCGGGGAAAACCTTAGCAGTGAGGTAAATTATTTGTAATTTTTTGTTTTATTAATTTCTATGTCATATTAAATTTTATTTAAATGTTTCTTGCAATTTATATATTATGTTAATATTTCTTGTATTTCCAATATTAATATGAATGTTTCTTGCAATATTTATATTTTGTTTTGCATTTCTAATAAATGGTTAAAGTTTCTTGCGTTTCCATTAATTTTTTTAATACTTGTTGCATTGCTAATATTTTTTTTAGTTTCTTGTATTTCATTTTTTTATTTTTATTTTTATACTTGTTGCATTGCCAATATTTTTTTAAAGTTTCTTGTGTTTCCATTATTTTTTAATATGTTTTAAAGTTTCTTGTGTTTCCATTAATTTTTTGTTTTACTTGTTGCATTGCCAATATTTTATAAAGTTTATTGCCTTACATTTTATTTTTATTTTTTATATATAGATTATGCAAGCACAAATGTTTTTTGGTGCTACTGGGCAAGGGAAAAAAAGTTTCAACCATACCCTATGTTGGGAGGTGGTGAAGAATTGTAAGAGATTCCAAATTATTCTAAAAGGTCCAACGATAGTGTTGAACGAGATGCCACTCCATGAGACACCGACATCGGATTCACCTATGGATTCCCCGATAAGTCAAGACTCACCTATCGAAAAAGAACAGAAGCCTATTGGGAGGAAGGCGGCGAAGGCGAAGAGAGGGAGTAATTCTACCAAGAATACATCTAAATATTTGGAGGAGCTTTCAAAGATGCAAGCAATGAGAATTGAAATGGATATGAAACAACAAGAGCACGATAGGGCAATGGAAGTAGAATATGCAAAAGAAAGGGAGTATGTACGCCAAGGAAAGATTGAAAAAAATGATCGGGAAACCATGGCTATGGATACAACCCATATGTCCCCCGAAACAAAACAATTTTGGAAGTTAGAACGAAGGGATGTTATGAGACGAAGACTTTTTCGTGACGATGAACCTAGCAACACGGATTGGTTAAATGACCAAAACCATTAAGTTAGTTTGCTTGCCTTTCATTTCATTGTAACATTGAGTTAGTTTGCTTGCCTTTCATTTCATTGCATTTTTTGTTTTGTTTAAAAAAGTAGTTGTAATTCATGTATTTTATTTTATGAGTTGTATTCATTTTCTTTTAGTGAATGAAGAAAATATTCAACAACATTCCTTTTTATTCAAAACATTCCATACATAAAAAGCAACCCACAACCAAAGCATAAAAAATAAACAAATCACAACAAAAGCATAAAAAATAAACAAACCACAACTAAAGCATAAAAAAACAATAAAGCATAACTAAAAATACAACATAAACATAATACAAAAAAAACACATCTTTACTTTACTTTATTGTCCTTCATTGCCTTTCACCCCGCACAAATACTCCATCAAGTCCATTTGACGGTGTTCATGAGTATATGACGATTGCATCTCCGTGTAGCGCTCAATCATCCGATGCATGAAACTATCGGCTCTAACTAACGGATCATGCTGCACTGATTCTCCATTTGGCCCCATAGGTTTTTCATAAATTCGTGTTAAGACGAAGTTCATTGGATCTGGTTCATACTCATCTTCAGCAGCATCGTAATCATACTCATCTTCCACAATCATGTTGTGGAGGATGATACAAGTCATCATTATACTCCTAAGCACCTCCTCATCAAATAGACGTGCCGCTCCCCTGATAATTGCCCACCGGGCTTGAAGGATACCAAAGCACCTCTCCACATCTTTTATGTACCCATCTTGATAGGTAGCAAAAAAAATTTCCTTGTGGGATCGGGGATGTGGAATTGATTTCACAAATGTTGTCCACCTCAGGTAGATACCATCAGTTAGATAATACCTGTTCTGGTAGACGGTATTATTAATTTGATATGTAATAGTTGAGCCTTCACATCTCAGAACATCATTGAACACCGGGGATTGACCCAGGACGTTCAAATCATTTTGAGAGCCGGTAACTCCAAAGAAGGCGTGCCAAACCTATGTATCAAAACCAGCAACTGCTTCGAGGATGATGCTTTTCTGCCCTTTCCGATTCTCATAATCCCCTTGCCAAGCAGATGGACAATTTTTCTATTGTCAATGCATGCAGTCAATGCTACTAATCATTCCTGGAAATCCACGAGACTCAGCTTTTTGTAGAAGCTGTTGCAGGTCCCTGGGCGTAGGTCTGCGCAGGTAGTCCCTGGTGTACAAATTTTTCACTGCATCACAAAATCGCACAAAGTTCTCCAAAATAGTGGACTTCCCCATCCGGGCAATCTCATCCACCTGATCAGCAGATGACCCATACGCCAACATTCGTATCACAGTTGTGAACTTTTGCTCGGAAAGCAGCCCCAAATCTCTAGCACAAATTTTCTTTTGAACAAAGTAGTCATCATAATTGCAAATATCATGCATGACTTTATTGAACAAATGAGGTTGCATTTTATATCTTACTCGAAAATGAACATCAGAGTACAGAGATTGTGGGATAAAATAATCTTCCATAAGATTCTTACCCCGAGAATGTCTATGTCTATCCACATTCGGTGCCCGGCCTTCTCATGAACCACGGCGGTTCTGGTTTTTTTCCTCCGGCAAAACAACGGCCACACCAAGTTGCTCATCTAGTTCTCTTTGCGCCCTTTTGCTTGCAGCTCTTCTACGCATTCTTACTCGCCTTTCTCGCTCTTGCCTCTCCAAAACCTCTTCCATGTCGTCTGACATTGAGAATGAAGAATGAAATCTAAAATATGAGAAATGAAGATGTAGAGAAGATATGGTGTGGGAGGTATGAGCTGAGCCTATGCTTTTATAGAAAAATTTAGGTAGATAGATATGACACGTGGCGCAATTTTAGAATGTGAAAATCTTATCTGAAATTTGAAATTCACATGAAATTTGAAATTTGAAATTTATATGGAATTTGAATTTTGAAATGTATCTGAAATTTGAAATTTATCTGAAATTTGAAACCGAAAATCTGATCCGATATGAGTAGTATTGACACGTAGGAACCCAAAAATCTTATCCGAAAATATTATCCAAATTAATTGTTTAAGTAAACAAAGTTGTAAAAAAAATAAAAAAATGAATAGTATTGCCATGGCAAGCCTTGCACTGTTGGAAACACAATTTTTTTTGTTGGTGCTAAGACAGACAGCTACTATTCATGTAAATAGTACCCGCCCTAGGGCTCCCCTTGTCATGGCAAAGGGCTAACTGGTGGAAGTGCTTATAGCCACCAAGATTGAAACAATAATTGCTTTACACCCAAAAAACCAACTGCTAATGTTTTTGTTTTGGGCATCATTACCATTAGCTCATGCTGTCGTCATATAGTTAATGGGTCAAAGCAAAAGTCTAAAGTCTTCAGCCCAAGCATTGCCCGTATCAACCGCAACGGGAAGTGGTCAATACTTACTACAGTAATAGGTCAAAGATTCTTTCTAGTTATATAAGTAAATTTATATTTTACGAAACTGTTATTTCGCGCGCCCGTAAAAGAATTGATTGTGCAATAAAATAAAATAACGAGTGCATGATGTCAATCTGGAGTGTGGGCGGTATAAATGCAATGCGAAATTTGACAACGCGGCGCGAAATACAAATAGACTCACAAGTTTGTTTATGCAATTTTGTTTTTGAACTTCGTCTCCCTTAGAATTACAAAAAATAACTCGTTCTGCTGTTGCCATCTTTGGATCAAGAGGAGAGAGAGAGAATCACATTGCAAATATTATTATTTCAGATCGTAATGAATAAAATGATTGATTGAATGAAAATCTAAAGAACATCCCGCGAACAAACAAAGAATCTAAACAAAACGAAGGAAGGTACTTACGTGTGATGAGGTCCAGAATAATGCAACAATCAAAAGGACACAAAATCTAACAGACCTAGCTAGCTAGCTAGCGACACAACTGATTCTGATACGGAAATGGAAAACAGCCAAAAACGAGTCACCCCCGCTCTCATCATTCAGAGCCTTCTTCTTAATTAGCTTAGTATTAAGTTGGAAAAGGTGAGTGATGAAGAAGAAGCCTTAATTTGTGGATTAATATTTGGTGGGGTTTGATGATGATGTGTGTTTGAGGTGATGATGATCAAAACAGAGACAAGAAAAGACGGTCTTGAGAACCTTCTTGAGAACTTGGCCCCGTTTTGGGATCCAGCGAGGGGCCATGAAAGCACCACCATGATATCGATGATGAGCACTAGTAGCCGTGGAGGTTGCTTCTTCGCAGCTGTGGATGAGAGCAGCCATATGAATATCTGAATATGTTGGCTGCGCTGGCTGTGTGTGTTCGTTTTCTATGGAAGGGAGACAGACAGCTTAGGCTAGATAGGTTGCTTTTGGAAATGAAGTTAAGTTGGGAGTCGGAAGAGGCAGTGAGAAGTGGTGCCGACAACAAGGTGTTGGAGTTAATAATATGAGGGGTGTGGAAGCCGCGTAGACTCATTCGTTTAACCCTAACCGAGTGAGTAACGCGTGAAGGCTCTTCTCTCTCTCTCTCTCTCTCTCTCTCTCTCTCTCTCTCTCTCTCTCTCTCTCTCTCTCTCTCTCTCTTTAAGACTCGTTCTTTACTACTTGTTTATATAAATAAAACCCCAGTAACACTATCAATTTCTAATTTGTATTGTAGCCAACCAACCAACCACCTCAATTTATCAGAGGGAGAGGAGCCCAATTCCCTTACACGCCTCATATGCTCTCCCTCGGGAGAGGGAGTTCAATTCCCTTACATGCCAATCATATACTCTCTCTCGGCTTTGAATAAGTCATTTCATTCTACTTCTCCTTGTGCCCCTACTTTATTCTGCACATAGAGAGTTTGAAGCCCCCTACTTTAATTAATATAGTACATATGTGTTCCCAGCTAGTTTATCTGTTTCTGTACATAACACAATTTTTTTTTAATTTCTTACTGTTTCACATACATCACATTTCCTATGCATACAGAATAACCTTGTCCATTTGCTGAATAATATTTGTACTCATGCCCATTTGCTGCTTTTCCCTTGTCTCTTTTTTGACTTTTCAATATTAGTCCCAATCCTGACCATTAATGAAAAATATAACTGAGATACAGGTGGCGTGGCGACGTCTTAACTTTTCTGATTAGAATCCGTTGACCTTGACCTCACAAAAGACCAAAGGCCCCAAAGAGAAGTAAAAAGCCCCATCAAAGAATTCGTCCTAAAATGGGTCCCCCTCATGGGCTCAGCTGAACTCAACTTAGACTACAACATTTTGGCCCACACAGGTTACAAAGAATCAGTCTACAAGAAAGGCTATAATGAGGGCTTAAAGTGATGAGGTTATTTGAGGAGGTCAAATCTCACCATCAACAAATGTAAAGAAATTATGAGACTTAAATATTTTAAATGTTTTGACTGTCGGATCGGTCTCCTCAAATAACCTCATCACTTTAACTCATCATTGTAAAAGCTCCCATCAGTCTACTATAATCAAATGCACAGGGATTGCGGGCTTTTATTTCGGGCTTGATATTGCCTAGGATTAAAGAAACGATTCACTACTTGTTGGAGCACCATATGGATATGGTGGAGCAGTACTATTGGCTATGAAGTTTTTTTTGTTTTTTATTTTTTTTAAATACAAACGATACTGCTAATGGATTATAGCCCAATAGAAAATGACATTTATTTACAGACTACTCGTCTCAAATTCAAACCCTTATAAGTTATGACACCTTAGTAGAGCGTGTGAGAAACCTCTCGCAAATGTAAATACTCATAACCACTTGCGTCACAAACCCTTACATTAACTATGAAGTTAGCAACAATGATTATGTGCAATAATATCTTATATATTTATTTTATGTGGAAGTTTTCCAGAACAATATCCAGTTTATGTATATATATATATGTTCCTCGTTGCATTGTGATTGTAGCAGCTGTTGAAGTTGAGCGCAAGTTTGACTAAGATCACCCTCGGAGGAGGCATTCCCAAACATCACATTCGTAACTTTTTCGTTTACTTGTACTAGAAAATATTTTTCCCTTCAAATACTAATACTATTGCTTGTAGATATTTGATCCTCTAGTTTGTTTTTTGTTTCAAGTTTTGGCAGCCATTAAAACTTTATCAGTGATGTAGAGTGTTTGCTGTTAAGACTCTTTGGCCCAATTTGTATGTGTTTTGTGGGCTTTAAATTAGTGGCTTATTGAAATTACTACATATCGGAAGATGAGTCATTCTATAGTGAGCGCCTAATACATGGCCCTTAGGGGAGACCCTATCTCTTAACCGTTGGATTAAGCTAATCAATTTGATCCAACGGCTAACTAATTTGATCAAACAGTTAAGAGATAGAGTCTCACCTAAGAGCCATATATTAGACCCTCACTATAGAATTATTTGTCAGAATAGATGGATAGTTGGGTTGGGTTGGGTGTGTTTCCACATGATTGTGAGACTAGTTTTCTTGTCTCATCAGTAAGACGACAAATTTGGTATAGCTCATTCTATTTGCAGCAAAAGTAAAGTTTTGTTGAAAAAGTTTGACAATGGAGCCCACATGTCGGAAGGAAATTTCCTCAGACCTTCATGAAGCCTTCCTTCTTTGGTTATTAGCCAAGGCTTTGCCTATAAGAGCACTTCCATCCATTTGCCATGGCAAAGGGTAAGGGCAAGGCAAGAGCTGTTACTATTCACATGAATAGTGACAGCCATTGCAAAAGGCTTGTTGTGTTTTCACCCATTATCATGGCAACCATTATATTCACATGAGACATGAGGAGAGACATTTGTATAGAGTTTTAGCGTGGGAAGTGAAGAATATGGCTATGTATTTATTAAAAAAAATTCTGAAATTTTTTGTACTTTTTTAAATAAAAAAATTTGAAAGTGCACATGTTAGAAGGAAATTTGCTTACACCTTCATGAAGCCTTCATTCTTTAGTCATTAGCCAAGTGTCACGGGATGAGCGAGCGGCGCAGCGCGACGAAAGTGAAACACAAATTTCACCACTCAAAGCACACCCGTGCGGCCCAGGATCTATTCCGATCCCAGTCAGCTTTCTCCCACTTCATGATATTCATGACTCTCATAACTTCGAGAGAGGTTCCCCTTCAATTGTCGTCTCCTACTAGACAATGAGTTACACTACCTTGTGACAATACAATCACTCCGCATCCGGCAACGAACCCTCGACGCCCATACATCAAGCGTTGCATAAGACACGTCAACTACATCGACCACATCGCATGCTTAACTCATGGCTCGCTCATGTCCAAGTCAAGACATAGCGATCCAACACACCATTAGTTTACCCACACTTCTGTTAATTATTCCTTTAGCGTCCACGATAGCCCACATCCTCAAGCTATACACGCAAGCTGTCATACTTGCATATCGCCCAAGCCTTGGCGACATATGTATTCTGAATATCCCACATGACTATCTATGCATTGCATGGGGTCGCAACCCATGGGTACCGGCATCCAAATATCTTTCTTCTATTTTGGACAAGGCCGAACCCAAGCCAAGTCCATCGAGTATTGTCAAATGCCTCGTTAGCCGATGGCATAACGAATGCCATATGTTGACCTCACTCTTTGGAACGATACGCAATACGAACGGTCCCGCGTGTTCGTACTATCCTCGGGAATTCATTTCCCTCGGAGACATAGATTATCTTTCAACAATCTTATGCCCACCCTTATGACTACCTCCAATGTCATAAGG